CCTGAAACAGCTAACAGCAAATAATAACAATTCTGAACTACAAATGCTATCTCTATCATGGTTAATAAAATAGGTTTGAAGGTATTTATATCGGTATCACAAATTGAAATTAACAAAATATGTTTGTATAGACAGTACAATATTTTGACTTAAGTGTAATATTATATTACCTAAATATTGTAAACTACAATAATATTTATACATTTTTATAAATATTTAATTTTGTTTTTTAATGTATTAAATTAGAATAGACTAAATTTAAATAATAAAACTAAATTCGGTAGTTGAAGAAGAGATTTCAGAAATAAAATAATAATCAAATCAAATCTATTATTGTTCAATCAATTTTTAACTAAAAGCATATAATTTATACCTGGATGATAAATAATATCGGTCATATAATGTTTTTTAGAAGTTTTGCTCTATAATATCAAACATAAAATGGTTGATAAGGATAGGTTGAATGTTTTTTCTTAAAAATACTATAGTATATAATATTATTGTGATTACACAAAATACGCAATTACATGATTGTCTTCTTTAGAATCTATATGGCACCAAGTATCTGGACCATATGAGCAAACGCCCTTAAAAATGGGCTTGGTGAAATAATTTTTAGCTTATGAATAAATTATTAATTATTGCTTTCGCTTTAATAGCTGGCATTGATTCGAGTATGACATAAAAACGAATTTGCCAAAAAAATTGTAAAATTCGTCAAAAATAAAGTATCGATTTGCAAATTCTAAAAACTAGTTTGCAAAATAATGACATATTTTTCGAATTGATCGGACAAAGTCAGGGCTAACTTCACGCACATCATTAGATGTGTATATTTTGATATTTGAATCAAATTATATGGTATACAATTCTCTATAAAATTAACGTAAGACATGAATATTGGTTCTGTTGATTTATAAGTTAAAAAATGTGTTTGTAAACATATTTAAAGTAGGTATTTGAAAGTACATATCTATAAATATATTTTTTAAGTATTTGTATTCGTACTCAAATACTTTTCAAAATAAACATTAGTATCTATACTTGAATATTTTTATGAAGTGTCTTTTCCTATATGATTCATTTATTTGAACAAAAATTATATTTGTGTTATACATGGTTATTAAACTGAAATCAAAATTTCTTTAGTCAATGACATATTGTACAATTTATTTTATTTTTTGCAATTGCCAACTGGTAAAACTTACCAATCAATTAAATAAATGTAAAAAGTATCCAAATTAATGTGTGATTAATCAATTTAGGTACTATGTTTTATTGAATTAGTTAGTAAAATATATGAAATGCAATATGTGGTAAATAAAAATAAGACAATACTAATATATACAAAAACTTATAATATTTTATAAGTTTATCATTGCAATTTAAACATTTATAATTGTTGAGCATTAAAAAATAAATAGGTACTTTAATGACGACTGACGAGTCAAGCTTAAATTTGGTTTTACTATCTTATAAGTTACAACCTAATCGTTTATCTACTCAACGTACTATCATGCCATGACCCATGATAACCATGTAATTGGTACACTGAGATATTACGCAACTATTGAACTATGATATCAGCACAGCGTACGATATGAGATACTTGGTAAGTATTATCTTTAATCGTGCACAAAACAATAATATAAAGCTAATCAAAATTAGTATGTTTTACCTAATTGAGTATATGGTGGAGTCGCGAAGATTACACGCAAGTATGAGACAAGTGATGACAGTAATTCAGTAACGGTCCAATTACTTATAATATGACATTATCACACTAAGTTATTGTAGCGAGTATGTTCAATTTTAATGACTATTGTACCTTGGGTTTGAACGATATCAAATTTATTACTTTTGACCTCTTGATTTTATAAGCTTATGACAAACATAACCAGTGCCTCAATCACACTCATGCGGGACGAACTGCTCAACACCCTTTTAAATGGACATGATACAATACATTTAAGGCACAACTTAGGATTACTGCACTAGAATTGATTCGAAAAGTGTAACATATTTTATCCTGGGGCATAAAAATCGTAATTGCTGCGATACCTACTGACTATAATATATAATTAACATTAGCATTTACTCCAAAATACCTCCCGAAACCATTTAGCTTTGAGGAGCTATATATCTAATCAACGGAACATGATAAATAATAAGAAAATAGCCTTATTAGTTATTAATTTATGAAATTTGAATTACAGATTGTCATTTAGAATAAAAAGTTAATACTTAATATAAAATACGGAATTGTTTATTAAATTATTTTATGATTTTTGAGCTATTTTAGACATATTATGACATTTTTGATTTTATATAGTTTTTTGTACTTTATCATTCGTTGTTTTTTCTTGGATAAGAAGTTGAAAAATTAAATACAAGATTGCATAAATTGTTCATATTATACAACTAAACAAATATCAAAAATACAGTCATAATATTTTTTTTTTTATCATATTAGAATTTTGACAAAACTCATAAAAGTTAAGGAAATGTGCATATTATTTTGAATTTATAATGTATAGTTATTTTTATAGGTATCTATTGATTTAAAAATGAAATACAACTATACAAGATTCCTCATAAGTTTTTCTACCTGTAATAACAAAAAAATTATCCGAAAATCACACAATTTTTTATAAGAGTTTGAATTTATTTTGACATTGGATATTCAGCCTTAAATTACCTATTTCATACCTTCTCAATCGACTTTTGATATTTTATTAAAATTCAAAAAGGAATAACTGTAGATACTTGACATTTTCACCGAATACTGAAATTAGCATTTTCTATACGTAAAATGAACGTTGTACATGGTAATATTTTGGCGTCATTGAATATTCCATCTATTTAAAAATATATAAGATATACTTTGTGGTGTTTTTTTTTACTGAATTTCATTAGTATAAAACGGTCAAATGGGGGGGGGGGGGGCACGAGTCACTAACAAATCGCTACATTGAACATTTTTCGTGTAATATTCGTACAGTTATAGTTTTGACATAATATTATACTATGCTAATTTAAAGATTAGATACCTAATTTTACATAAAAGAATCCTAAGTATAAAACTTTTTACATATATTAATGTCTATAATTGAATGACTTAACACCAATGACTATTGAGTAAATATGTTTATTGATAAATATTTTTAAATTGGGTACAACAAATATTGATTCAATAAAACGAAGATAAGATTTACTGTACAATTATATTAAATTATATATACATGTAATTATATAAACCTAATATTATAAACAAGTAAGTACAAAATAAATACTAAACATGAACTTATTAGTTTTCTTTAACAAAAACAAATCTTAAATTTTTATACACATTTTAATATTTTATAGGTAACTCATAACTTTTTTTAATAACAAAACACAGTGTTGAAGATTTATTTATGCAGGTTGTCACTTGAAAATTAAAACGTTTCTATCAAATAAAATTCAGACTTATCAAAGATGATATATATTATAATAAATCTGGACGAGAAAAGTTGACAATATAAATTAAATTGAAATAAGTTGGATTTTGTTTTAAAATATCGTTAAATAATATCTGGTAACTAGGTATATATACTATTATAATATGTAATATAATAATAATCTAAGTATATATTTAGGAGTATTAAAAACAAATATATATATATCTGATGTATATTGTTAATAATTGTATTGTGTACATATTGCAAATAGTGTCTACTTTCAATAAAAAAAAAACAACTATGTTTTGTAACTTATCATCTTAAAACAATTGGATAACTATTTATAGTTCTATAATATTGTTTATAAATAATCTAAACAATCGTTTTTATTCTCTTTTGCGTGACAACCCTGTGTTTGAGTATTTTATTCTAATTTAATCTAACAAACATTATACATTTGAAAAAAAAAAAGATTTTGCAACAATAACGCTTGATGACATTTAAAACATTACGTTTATACATTATATTGATATATTATATGACAAACATGTTGTATGTTTTTATATACTGTACAAAATGGTTTTTAGGTATTCGAGAAATTACAACTTTGTTGTCCGAGTCAAAAAATTAAATAACTGTTACACGAATCATAACTTTTAGTTATGGTAAAATCACAATATCGTATTGATAGGCTGCTGTTGAAGTGGCTTAAATATAATCGTATGGGCTTATTGTTATTTAATGAAAAGTTAGAATCCTTGTTTTATAATACTTTATATAAAAATACAGGACTAAATTGGCAAATCATAATCAATTTAGAAATTGTCTTGTTTTTTACAGTATTATATTATTATAATCTAATATTATTTCTGTGATATGTAAATTGGTATAGTTAAGTTTCTGATTTAAGAAGAACTTTGAAAAAATATTTATACCACATTAACGAGCTTTTCTGATGACCTATTCTAGAAATTAGAGGAAATAAATGTGAATAAAGACGTAATAACAATATAATATATTTACTTAGGTGTATCATGCTTCTGATGTGTTAATCGTTAGACATTACTCAATATTTTATACACCTACTTTATGCTTTTATAAATACTTACAAATAAGTGTTATACACTATGCTAACAGATTTTAATTTTTAAGTAATACACAATAATATTAGTGGTAATATTTTTTTATTATTTTTCTTCCACATTTGAGTTGTTTGGATATTTATAATATAATCATGTATTTCTCATATATTTTAACATACAAATCGTTTTATTATTTATTATATGATTTAAACAACTGATCTTAATTATAATATGTATGTATCTATAAAATATTTTATTTGAACAGTAATTATTATTGAAAAAGTGTACTCATGTGTTCAAGTTTTTTTATTGTATGAATAATTATCGTCATATTATTAATTGTTAATTTATTATTACAGACTAAAGTATTATATTGGTACTATTAATACAATACTATTCAAGACATGGTTTGTGAGTCACAAGCTTGTGTATATTTATAATTTATAGTCAAAATGTTTTAAAGTATTAACGTCATATCCTAAAAAACATAATCCCCCTTTTTTTGTCTTGTTGTAACAATTTTATGATAGATACTTAGACAAAACAGTAATCGGTTTTGTTTTCAATAAAAAAAACGACGCTGAGTTTATTAGATGAGATCAAAGTATTAATAAAATATTACTATAATTACACTAATATAGTAATATACAGTACTTTATTCTATTACAATTGTTAAACAACCAATATTGTAAGAGCCTGAAAATGTCTGGAAATATTTTCCTACTAAATGTGTATCATTTTTGAGTTCTTAAAAATTAACTTTTGAGTGGTTTCTAGCTTATAAATTCTACAGTTAAATGTCAGGCCTATTGGAATACAGAGAAAATAATTATGAAGTCGGTTATATTGAGGTAGTGTGTTCGGAGCTGTTCTCAATTAATTATTTCTGTAGACGATTAAACATTTAAAGATATTAAATTGGTGTTATATAAACTATGTTGTATAAATACATAGACGAATTAGGTACGATGACATGTTAACGGTGGCACATTATATCACCAATCTATCATGCTACACAGTTATATGCACAGTTAGAAAATAAACGCTAGCCCGCGTATGGGGTATTTATTAAATTTAGTATCGTTTAATACAAAAAGAAGTATAATATTTAGTATAATATTTTATTATTATTATGCACGTTAAGGTGGGTACATTATAATATTACAACGATGTTATTAAAGGCTAACGAAAAAAAAATCACTGTCGGACGTGTAAATAATATATTATAATACTTTAACAAGTACGCGTGAGTGTTGTGTGAGTCCGCAGTTTACAAGACGGACTTGCGTATGAAACACGATGAAAATATATAAGTGAGTGGACCGAGAAACAATATAAAATTGTACATCAAAATCGTCCACTGCGACGTTTTTGAGCATATTGCTCAACGAGTATACTTATACGATATTTATTATGATAGGCATTTACATTTAAATCAGAAATATTTTCCCCCTTTATCGTTATGTTATAATAATATGCGGTATTACACTTATAATATGTTAATATTAAATATTTCTGGTAGACACGCTTGCGTTGTCGGTACTATAGGTCTCTGGCAGTAAAGATGAGCAAAAACGGAACGATCATGGCGCTGACAATCGGAGGGCACAGTGGGATGCTGCCCTGGCCGTGGTGCATCGCGGCTGGATGTTCACCTGTAAACAACATAACGATTTAATTATTTTCAGTTATTTTATGTCGGCTTTTGTTTGAATTTCCTTTTTTTTATCGACTGATGCGTATCAATGTCGGCAATAATGTAAATGCAATTCTATTATAAAAAGACAAGAGAGTAAATTTTGTTTTTACTAACTTTTTGTATACAGTTGTAATACCTATTATGTACGATATGCAATACTTTATCGATGTATTTAATAGATCAATATTCAATGTCATACTATACTATGTGATCTAATTTTAGATTATGAGTGATGCAATAATGTGTGATTTTACTATAATTTATGCTTTTTGTAAATGACATAAGGTAGTTCAATTTTCAACTTTAATGGTTGGTTCTGCTTAACAGTTTATCTAGTTTTTAATATGACGGCAATACCCCCTGTCAAATGAAAAAATTCCAAGTACTTAAAAAAAAATTTATAAACAACCTCAGTTTTTGACATTATTGATTTTGATTTTTTAGTGTAGATTCTTGAAATGTTTACAAAATATTCATATTCTTATTATTATCTATATTTGATACAGTTTTAAAATTATGTGGTCGCTTTTGAATTCTTTATGGACATTTTATACATTTAAAATTTTAATTTAATTTAAGGACCCACATAAGTTGTGTTATAGCCATTAAAAAAATATTTAATACATATAAGATTTATTTTTGTTTAATTTCAAATTTTGAAAAAATCACGATAATTTTTCAAAGTATTTTAAAGTTAAAAATGAATGAAGGGTTTCATTTTTTAAGCTATCCTATTTTGTTTTTCCTCAGGTTTTCTTATTTAATCTTCGATTATCGATCCGTGTTGAGCCATTTGACAATGGTCAATGTAATATTAGTTTTATACCTCCTTCAATCAAGCACTGTGTACAAATAATTTATATAATTAATCTCGTCCTTAAAACATTTTTAATCTAACCACGCTAAGCCTTCTCTTATTTAAAATTCATAAACAGAAATACATAAATGATGCTATAAAATGTTAGTATATTTCGTAGTTATTATTATTTAGTACCAATACAATTTATAAGCATTGATTGCTTCACGGTAACTCAGGTAACCATGGTAAGGATTTACAATGATTGTGTATTGTTACACTAACGTACAAACTCATGTTTATTGCAGTTCGTAGTTTCTTTGACGTCTAACGTTCTAACTGATGACTACAGGCAGTGCAGACTGAGACCCATCCAGCCCACTATTATTGAGGAATAATCGGCTCTATACTATTACTAACTAAACTTTTAGAATTTGGTACTTTTATTTTGGATTTCGGTTACTCACCAATCACCATAATAAATAGGGGATAAATATTATTAAAATTAAAATTTATTTAAGGCAATATTAATTTTTTTTGTTATATATATTGTACTTTAAATCATAAATCATAAATAAAATCTAAAGTACAATGCCCAAAAAAATTTATTTTAACCACAATAATCTCCTTGAAAATGACCAAAAAATTGTTTTAAAAATTCTTAAGTATAAACAAAAATACGGACTTAACGATTTAAAAGCAATTACAATGTAACACAAGCTAACCAATTAGTGATTACAGTTTATAAAATCATAAATAGTACCTACAATCTACAAATAATGAATGGTCGCAGCAAAATTGTTGAAATTACCAATTGAATTTAATCAAAAATGTACTTATACTATGTAGAAATGTACAGTGTGCACTAGGAATTAAAAAAAATGACTTGAAAATTGTAATAATAATTGCTCAAAACACCAAAACTGATAAAAATGCAAAATAATAGTTTTGAGTTCTCTGATGAACTAGTGTGATAAAGATTTTTTACTTGAAAAGCATTGCTGGGGACTTCGCAAAAATAATGCATTTTGCATTAAAGTACGGACCTATAAGTATTTAAGGTTGAGTCGAGCAGAGTGAATTATGTCGATCTACTACAAATGTGTTCTAAATAGAGGTCCTAAAAAAATCATCAACAATAATAATATTATACCAGGTGAATTATTTTATACTAACCCGATGTAGTGGGGTACATTATATGACATTGGACTACTGTGCCAGTGGCTACAGATTACATAATGATAGTGATCTCTATACTGTTAGGACTATAGCGATATATATTATATATCGACTGGCTTGACGATTTGAGAGTATTGTTTTAATTCTGGTCACATCAAGGAAATGCTATATGGCGCTGTCTACTTACAAACTAGTATTTTGTAGTATCAACGCTATAAACCAAAAAATGACATAGTATTCACTTTAAACTATATATTAACTCGCACTTGAGTCTCTTAGATTTTTAGAAGTTTAGAAGAAAATATTTTATTCTCTGACCACACAATGTTTTGTTTTTAATTTGATAATAATATGTATATTAATTGTATTATTATAATTTGCTCACATTTAACTGTTTGAATTGCATAGTATTATTCATAATAACAGTTAATAATATAATAGAATTGTTATGTTTAATATTTACTAATATGTGTGTATTTTTGTTTGTAAATTACCGTCAGACGTAGAACAAATAATAAATAAATAAAAAAAATGTTTAATAATGCTATACATAGTTGTAGAGAATAAAATTGGATATGGTTTCGCCATCTATTTTGCTGAGATAGTAAGTGTATAGTACTTAGATAGCTATATTATTATGAATGTAGATAGCACCACATATCATTCTTCCAAACTGACTAAAATAACGGTGAATGCTGACCACGTACAAACACTGTTAAAACGACAGACTTGTATCTATACGAACGTGGTGATAGTTGTATCAATTTTAATAATTATTAATAAATAAGTGGGCACTTTGAGATATTACCAAACTGATAAGTTCCGCGTTAACTTCTGCTCCCTTAACGTGGAGATATTTTCATATTATATATAGTTCGCGTCACTCATCGAGATAGATAAGAATATTTGACCACGTTCCCTCCATATTATTACGATGTAAAAAAACGGCCGGACCGTGGTTGAGTCACGACAGCCAACAATTGATGCTATCGCTAAACGACAAAAACATATTTTTATTCGCCGGACGGTTTTTCGGTGACTATTACGCTAGTATAATACTTGTCGATCTAAATTATCTTGACTGGCGACTATCGTGGTCCAATCGACCGGACCAAATGGTTTATAGATGACTACGGAGATTATTTATCGGTTCGACGAGGTCTCATGTTACTTTTAAAAAGCGTTAAGAATTATTACAGCTGATACTACTACATAATATAGGAACAATAGTCAGTGCAACGGTGTTTTTGCCGTATATAATATTATATAATATATCACGCGTCGTCGGCGGCAGCTCAGAACGCGAATCATTCTTCTTCGGTCTGTAGAACGTTACTTCGCGTGGCCTATTATAATAATAACACAGGAACCTATATACAGTATATTATAGGTGTTATATTATTACCCAGTAACCAATTGTGATTAATAGTGCACACATCAACAATAGGATTGAACTCTGTGCGAGATTATTGTTATCGTCGAGGCGCAACGCCACGGCTATAATTCGTATATTATTATATTGCGTGTCCCTCGCTAGTATATTAATAGTAACAATAATAATAATAATAATAATCATAATTCGTGAGGGTCGAGTGCATCATACTGCTGTTGTTGTTAAACTTTCAAACCATCGGCACCGTCACTATATATTTATTATCACTTATCGTACACAATGTACGCGTTTTTGTCCGGAGATTCAAGTATACCGAGTGACGATTCTAGAGGTTATCTAAATCTCCGTGAAGATATATTCAGCTCTAAACACCCAAACTTAAAAAATATCAATAGAAATATTATGTTATAATATTGAATATCATATTATATAAATAAATAACCGGGCTGCAAACTTGTATACCATACAACAATATAATAGGCAACAAGAAAATTACAAGGTAAGTGAAAAATTAGACATGTGTAATAAACTAATAATATATACAATACTATATAGATCGAAGTATGCTCTCCATCTCCCCTCCTAAAATGCGAAATAACCATAGTACAGTGAGTTTCATTTTTTATTAGGATTTAGTGGATTTTTTGGATTTAAAGTGAATTTCAAGCCACCTAGCTGTTTTACCCAGAATTCATCGGGGATAAATTAAACATCTAGGTATTTCAACAGGAGTGAATAGTAAGTAACTTTTTTTTCATTGATTATACATTGACTGAATGCAAAATTAAATGATTATGTAGTAATGGTTTTAATACTATTAATAGTGGTGAAGCCACTCTAAAATAATGGTTCAATCAATTATCTAAACCTTCATTGAATCGATTAAATCGGTGGGGTATGTAAGATTCAATAAGTTCAATCATACACATTGATTTTATGCATAAAAGCTGTTACCCGTGGCTTCTATTCTAATACTTTTGTAAACCGTCCGGGATCCCAAATAATGCGTGTGCAACACTTGATCCCAAGTGGTCAAAAACTATGGATTTTGCATAAGGTGCTTCATTTACATATGATGTATCCCATTAATATCTGTATTAGCCTAAAATCCAAGATTATCTATCCATCAATCGTTTTCCGTTTTGATACAGTTAGGCAAATAACACTGACACAATAGCAATGATTTATTTTATGATTTTCCAATTCGTAATAATTATGTATGATATTTATATATACACGAACAACTGGTACATATAAAGCCTACTTAAATCCAACTAATCCAATTAATTAAGATAAAAATAAATCCAGAATTACGAAATTAATCATGACTAAAAATCAAAATAATGAGAAAACAAATTTAATTTTTGTTTTTTTTTTTATACATATTATTTTTTAAACAAAATAACTATACTCACGCTGTTCTATAATCTATGACAAAGTGTCGATATATTGACATAAGTTGCTAGTAACATAGTAATTATAATTTTATAATATTATATTCATTTTTTTGGTCAAAAAATAGTTTAACCTATGGTATTACTAATAGAAAAAATTATTACTATCTATACTTATTATAGCAGTATATACATTTGCATACGAAGCATTCTTAGAAGTAATCTTAACTTAAAATACTTTTTTTATCATATAGGTACAAATCTAATTTATCATAGAATTGAAATTTAACTCATCCATTACAGTGATCTACTCAATAAAGTGATACTGGACTTAAGGTTATTTCACTCATTGAAAATATTATCTTTATTCAAATTGATTTATTAAAGTGTTTAACATTTGTTAATTTATTATATATATATTAATTTAATTTAATAATGATTATCTTTAATATTAATCGTCCATGTACTTATTTGAATTTATCGGCAAGAAAATAAAAGGTTTGAGTTTATCTGTCAAGGTACACACACGCACTCTTATATATACACACTCATCACATGCAGGCCTCGTTTAGCACGGAAATGTTCTTTTCTATATTATAAATTATAACCTAATTTAAAAATCTCTACCATCCCTTCGACGTCGCGTATGGTTTATTTTTTTTTTTTACTACCGAGGACCTTAGTTTTTTTTTTTTTTAGAAATGTACCTTCATTTATTTTAATAGTCCTCATAATTTTTCAATTGTCTAAATTTTGTGGGTGAAAAAAATTATGACCCAAATAGGATATATAATAACGGGGCATAATGTGAACAAAATAGTCCACCATCTATGTATTTTCAAGTATAATTTAAGGCAACCAACCGTTTAATATATGAACCCTGACGGTGGCCGAATTTGCATTTGACGGATCGCAAGAGTAGTAGCCGGTATCTGAAGACGACGCCTTTTGAATTAATAATCTGCTGCTGGTGGTCGACCCTTTTTCCGTTACCAGGCTTATTCCGCCTCGTGGAGAATCGAAATTTATGGGCTGTGAACCGCACACACACATAAAAAAAAAAAAAAAACATGTAGCAAAACGTATCATTTCGAAAACCAAATCCGAAAAGGACCATTCTTCTTAGTCAATGTTGTCGAAAATAGAACGTAAATTGTTCCACTCACTTGTTTTTCGTGCGTCCATCCGACGGTCGGAGGAGGTTCCGGTGCGAACTGCACCAAGCAGGTGAGGTTTATCGTGCTACCCTGATCAATGAACAGCTCCGGACCTCCCAGTATTTCGGTAGTTGGTTCTGAAAATAAAACAAACGTTCTTAAATCTATTTTGTAGACAAATCACAAGACCCCATAGAAGCCTCCCTAGTTTCTCCTGAAAATGTACTGTGCATAATATTTTACAAATGTATAAATATTTGATTATGAATAAAAATTAATACCGTTTTAATTATTGTCGTGCACTTCAGCGGTGCAGGGTATACGTAATCACATAATGGTAAATACTCTAGAATAGTTTGTGATAATGAGAATGAAACAGTTCAAAGTCATTAATTAAGTTAATAAGTGGTAAACACATTGCAGGAATACGAGGAAATGACTTAACAGGTATAAAACACGTCAACTATTGAAGAGTATTTTCCAAACAGTGCGTTTCAAGCAACCGTCACAGTATAATGTTTACTTCAGAAATGATGTGTCTAACTTACTACATTGATAAGAATTATTTTTTATGATATGGGATCCCAAAGAACCTTACGGTTATCTTTTGTCTGGTACAGTAAAATTATGCTTGTATTATATTATTGTCAGTACAACAATAAAATTATGATAACAAGGCGTCTTGGATAGGCAAATTAGCTACACTACTGAAGTGAGTCCGTTTATTTGATATTACCATGTTGTTGAAATTTGACGAATAAAAGAAGCAAAGATAAAAATGAATATGATTAACCTAACGTAAATATTATACAATAAAGTATAGTACATTATACCTGTAACTATTACGTGTGAGAACTCTGCAATTGTGGGTCACTGAGACACGATTAATTTTATAGTTGGATGTGTGTGTAATATTATATCATTATTCATTAGTATTATACTATTATTATAATATGTTATCTATCATGTAGTACTGAAGTGCTTGTTAAATAAGTTGGTCTTTTTATCTCTTAAATTACAGTTGTATTCAATTCAAAAATTACTACCGCTTACTTTTCAAATACACATTTATTGATATTATATCAGTATACTTGTTAAATGAAATAGTCTCTTATATAAACCACATATATATAGGTACTTGTCATAATTAAATGTACGTATCAGGGAAACATTGAAATAAAATAACTATTTTATCAATTTCGTGTTCATTATATATACAACTCTAAATATTATTTTAAGCATACAACTTACAGCCGAGTAAACAAAATGCACTATATTATTATATATTTTTATTTTGAATATACGAATAACTATGTAAGTGTTTGACTTTATCGATTACAATAAATATCGATCCGTATAAGCAAATACAACTAATTACAAATTCAGAATATTGAATTTTGTTTTTTTAAAGAAAAACTGGATTGCGTATAAATAATTCATCATATTTTACAACTTTAATACTAAACATTAACGTCGAATTTTTCTTTTCGTATAACAATGATGGTTTTTTACAATGAATATGTTGATATGATAATTTACATTTAAAAAATATTTCCAATAAGTATGGTGAGTATATTCTAGATAGTATAAGGTTTTATATAATAAACATAATATATACAGCAAATAATTCTTTTTGTAAGCCTGGAGATAAAATATATTAATCAATAATAACAACCAGAATAACAATTGCAAGTAACATTTTATTTATACAAAAACATTAAATCTACGGTAGAAAATTAAATCAGATGGATGTGAATTCGTATTTTGTGTATAACGACGATGCAATATTTATTAATGACTAAAAAAATAATATTTCGGTATCAGTTAGGACTAAAATCACTACATTATTTTGTTTATACTTGATTTACGAGTTCTTGGTTGATTACGATTTAAGTTGTATTTGGTGTGTAGTAGTGTGCGTTTTTATTGGATTCCTACCTAATTTGATTATCGTTCAATGTCATTCGTAATTAAAATACAAATGTGTCCTACGTAGTTAACAATATAATCATTTGTTTGACAGCAAAGTCCCATTAAACACGAACACTCTGGAAAGGTTTAATTTGAACATTATGTAATAATAATAGAATGCAATTAAAAAAATAAAAATAAATATATTAACGTAGAACAATCCCAACGGTGCAATAATATGAGAATAAAAATTGAAACTCTCATACACGTGTTGGTGTCACCAGTATTTTCTATTAAAAAACTGTCACACTCGATCTAGAATGGTGTCTCTACATCCTTGTAGAACCCAATATATTTTTGCACCTTAGTAATTGTCACCATGCGAGTGTAATACTTGGATAGTACCTACCTATATAATATCATTTTTTTCATACATATTTTTATTATATTTTCCAACGTACATACAATTTATGTACCTATGGTTTTGTTTATTTTTATTTATGTTATATTAGGTTAGTATATAAAAACTTAATGATGTTAAAATACAATTAAATTAATTGTGCGTCAAAGTTCAGACCAAAGTACAATAGTTAAAATACCAATTGGTTTGCAACCTAACGGGACCAAACTGAAGATAGTACATTTTATTTTACGCTGGTACAAACCAATGTTCAATATAAAATACAACAAAATTTGCAAAAACATTTTCAGTTAGTAAAACGTCTGATGTAATTTTGTTTAATTAAAAAATAAAAAAAAAACGTTAAATTGTTTTATGACAGTGACTATCGTCTGAAAAGAAAAAAGTGTTATTCTCGGTAGAATATTATTGTTTTTAAGATACACACCAAGATATAAATAAAACTCAATTTCAATTTAATTTTTTTATGCATAAAGCAATTCACAATGTATTGGACATTTTTTCGCAATTGTCTACCGACACAATAAAAAAGGCCGTAGGCATCATGTCAACGTCACATAACTTTTGTTGAATTATTGCTACAAAGTTTGAATAATAATAATAATAACATTTAAATGTACACATAATAGATTACAATATATATTTAATATTAATATGTATGTATGTATAAATTCGTCAAATTTAAGATAATATTATATATTTCGGAGGTTTTATAAATTCGCTGTTACTCGTGTCATATATTTTGTATTTATATCAGGGATTGCAAACGTTATAATAACGTTATGATTATAACGTTATATTTGATAAAAAACGATTGAAATTTGTAAACGTAATTATAACGGAAAACGATAAACGTAAATAAATAAATAACACAAAACAAAACGTAACGTTTAACAAAATATATGATGTATCATTAAACAAAACATAACGCAAAACGGTATATATTGTATTCCATTAAACGAAATAATTAATTCCCAATTATTTAATAATACTTAGTAGTATTCAATTATTTATTCAATCCAAGAATTAATTTTATTCCGTATCCGGCCTATCCGGGAGATCCCGTATTAGATATTATTTTAAAACTTAATAAGAAGTTATTAATAGAATAATTTAATTACCAATAGCTAATAATAGTGATGCTCTGATAATATTGTACTGTACTATCTGTACTACGGTCGAAATTTATACCACTCAAGTTATTCAACTATTGTGTTCGGTGTTCAGTTTGCTCAGATTTATTCACTCGTCAGTGTTTGTCTAATTGTTGTCAAATGTTTAATATTTATATTTTATACTAATATACTTATAGTTTTAACGTGCATACGTTTTCTTTATATTAGTTTAACCCATTTAATTAAATAAATAAAATTAAACAATACCTACTTAAAACTCAGAATAGGGAAATTATGTCCCCAAAAAAAGGTCATAGTCGTATACTTTTAAATTGCGGCCTGTGTACTTTTAAAACAGGTATCTAAATACTTTTAAATTTTAAATAACGATAAACGCAAAAGTTGAATAACGTTTAAATTTTGAATAACGATCAACTCAAAATTTGTTTAACGTTTTGATTGTAAATAACGTAAAACAAAATTTATTTTTCAAATGCAAGCCCTGATTTATATGTATTACTTGTTTTCTAAAAATGAATTACAGTAACTACAGTCTCCAAATCAAATAAATAAATGGTAACTCAAATAACATCAGCTTATGTAAACTACATTAATAACCATAACACCAATTTCTGTAAGATAAATTGTTTGAAAAAAAATTTAAAAAATACCAATGGTAGGCATAACTCGTATCTATTGAGGTATAATGATGTGAACTTAGGTATCAACATAACTTTTAATCAAAGCAATAACTTTTAAAGCTAAAGAGTAACTTATAAATCAATACAGATAATAAATAAAAATTCCATTTAATTCTGTACTTTTTTTTTGAAACATTTTGAAACATTTTATAAATATCATATTATTGATGTTTTTTACATTATACAGCTTTTGATTTCTGTTGTGTTTACTACTAAATGTATTTTATTCATTATTATATGAAAATGAACTAAATTCTATATGTATTTTAAAATAACAATAATAACCCCCTGTGTTGGGTGTTTCATGGATAGGTGAAACTCCATTATCAGAATTAAGTCCATACACCGTGAAATCCCTAGCATAGCCTAAGCCAAGTTGATTTGATAGTTTGGAATTAAATATATTGCCCTGATAAATATTTTGAGGTAAGCCAATTTATAAGTTAAGATCTATAAAATCGTTATAGAAAACATTTCCCATCCATAATGAATAAAAATAAGTGAAATTGTATTATTCAATTCAAAAACATACAAAACATAATTTCTTACTTTATATTGCATAATAGTGTTATTGTTTTTTTTTCAAGTTAAACTTTGAATAATTTAATATGTTATTATTACTAACAATAATAAAACCATTAATTTTGTTCATGCTTTCACGATTAATTATTTCAGGTAAACAAATACTGTTTTCTTTTTTGATAGATGTTTCATACCCATACAAATCATTTAATTTCAACAATACAACAATAAATTACTTGTCGAGACTACAATATTTTGCTATCAACGAGCTTGAAACATGTTTAAGAATAAAATATAGTATTGTTACATTTTTGAATACAAAATTACTTAAATCAGATTATTTCTCAGAATTTACATGTTTTCTCGCTGAATAGAGAATAGTTTGTTTTTGAATATCAAAATCAATTCGGTTAATAATCGGTACCTTTGACACTGGTGTCACAGAAGTCTCGAACATATTGGCAGGA